GATGCTTGTAAAGCTTTGTGCGAGATTGTATCGGCGGAAACCGAAAATGATCTACAGTTGCCGCATTACTTTAGCAAATTGCGCGCATTATTAAGTTTGCAACATGAATAATACTATTACTAATTCAATATTTCATAACACAGTCTTTAATACTTTGGGGAGCGAGCTGCCATTAGTCGCTTTACTGATCATTTTATAACAAGCTTTCGTTGGTAAGGATGTAACTACAGTAGCTGAAAAATACAAGGAAAAATACTACCGACACTGGCATAGACTGTTCAAGATTTTATCATTTCATATCCCATAGGTCTCTGTCTGGAAATATAGTCTTCTTCCAGTACCGCATTGATATATTGTATGTGTAGATAATTATATTTAAGAACTCAGACTCTACGTAAATACGTACATTTGTGATAAGAGAAATTCTATAGCACCGCTATTGCTCTAAAATATATATACTTGGACGAACAATATATTGTTTGGAAACTAAGCGGGAACTTACAGTAGGCTAAGATTACTATAATTTAATCATTGAGGTAGGGATTGAAGATTTGGAAGATTAATTACGTTTATACATATGTATTATGCATATATTTTATTAACGTATGCCAGTTTGATTCAGCTGTAATTATATATATACCCGTTGGCGCTGAAAACGCCCCATTTTAAATCACGCACTGAGTTTCAATAGCTTTTTAACTAAATCATTATAAACAGCAAGTGCATGAGAAGCTATAGCCATAGCATGCAACTGTATGGTAAAGTTATGCCAATTTTAAATTATTTCAATCATTCAAACTTTAGAAATGCATTGTCATTAGACTATCTAAGTGCACGTTTATAAGCTACATGTCATTACCATATGCCATGGCCAGTCTCGCCACTGTTAACAGCATTACTTGGTATCAATACCCTATCTCAGTTTTAAAATCAATTATGAATTGCACTACTGGCCATTATAATTTGTATTTTGGAATTTTAGGCTTTCAAATATCTCTATTTCTTCTCATAATTTACCTGAATGTATCGGAAAATCATGCAGTAACAGTATTAATAATACCCAGGAATTTCAGGTTTTCTTAATATCATGCAGTTTAATAATAACAAATTTACCTGAATCGAGTGGTAAACAAAATCCGCAATGGGGATATTTCAGCCGTCATTATACGCAATTTGTAGCAAGTTTTGTCTAATTACTGAGTGAAAAATCAAATTCGCATCAAATTCATTTGTCATTGCATGAACCTAATTTTTTAACCGAATTTTTGCCTGAATTGAGCGAAAAAAATTATCCGCATTGCAGATATTTCGGCTGTCATGACGCAAATTTTAACAAGTTTTGTCGAATGAGTTAAAAAACAATTTTTTTCGAGCAAGTGTTTGAGGGGATAGATAATAAGGAATATTTTAAGCGTGTTGAAAACCTCCCTCCGCACTCTTTAACAGTCGTTTTCATATTTTGTTGGAAGTTCTTTTATCTTATAGGGATAAGTTATGTTAGTTTTGTCTAATCGCATGAGCCAATATTTGCAAAACCATCAGCAATATGAAGCTCTTGATTTTTTTTATTAAATTTGCTGATGTTATTAGATGTGGAACAAAGACATTTTTCGTAGGTTAATATCATAGATATAGGAGACCTAAATTGCTGACTGTAATGTATTCTATAACGCACGCCACGCGCCAACATGATCATGAGTATTCAAAATGGCGGCTCAACCGGTCAAAAATCATAGAGCGGTAGGCTATAGGGAGAAACCATGTTTTCGCATTTTACGCCCGCCTACTGTTTCCGATCCCGTTGAACCACCTTTTTTGGGAAGAACTAACTGGTGTGAAGGTTTTGGATGAATTTAATTTCAATAAAGACGAAATAATCGATCGCTAAATGTTTTCTGAAAATCATCACATGGTCGGTTGAGCAGTTCGAGACATTTTGTTGCAGAAATTAAAGGCTTTGGTTCTTTGGGTGCTTTTTTCTCGAGGATCTCGGTTGGGATATATAACAGGGAATAATATTGTGAAGTATTTTGAAGTTTAAAACCTATTTTGCTTGATTTACCTGGTCTGCTGGTGCGAAAACTCTGATGCTCTGTTTACAAGTGTTTAGTGTGACTTTGATGACCTCCTTGCTGCAGATGTCAAGGGATCTCAAGTCTATATGGCCTGGACAGTGAAAATCAGGATCTTAGAGAGAACTAGTGACAGAAAAAGTTTTCAATGGAAACTAGTTTGAAGAAACTGACTAATTTGTCTAGTATGCATTAAAAACCTTCACAGTATATCTAGTTTTCTCCAAGAAATCTGATTGATTCATCATTGATATAAATCAAAAATAGATGGGACAGCATATACTTTCAGCTATTTCTTGGATTGGCCTTTTATTAATTGCTTTCCCTTACTAACCTATTAAGCCTCAGCACTCTCCCCTTGACAAGTAAAATTATCTGGTGTTAGAGTAAAATAATAAAGTAGGGTGCAACTCAATGGGTTAACTGGACCCATGGACAGATAGGCCAGTTAATCCTTCAAGTGCCAGCACTCCGCCCTCGACGGGTAAAATCATCTGCCATTAGACAAAATAAAATAATAAAGTAGGGTACATCAGGGCACAATGCGACTTAATGGGTTAATATAGTTGTTGGGTGTAAGTTGTTTCTCGCACAATACTGAATATTTGGATGGCATCTAGTCTGCCCATTTCATTGCTGTTATCCAACTTTTTAGCCGGCTGGGATTGGTTGTAGGAAATCTAAATAGTGTGAAGGGAAATATGTATTTTTGGTTCACTGATATGAACAAAACTCAAATTTTTTTGACTTTCAACACGACAAGGACCTCTATGAAAGTTGTTGTCAACATGCATATATATATATATAGACTCCTAACACAGACATCAAAACAAGAAGTTCTTTTTGGTCTAATGTTCTTTTATTAAAACTGTAAACAGTTTTATATTGTAGCCAACAAGCTCAAAACTACATTTGTTGTCATTACTGTATTTACAAAACAAATTGTTTTTATGCTATTAAAAGCTGTCCTATTTTAATAGTCTTATACTATTCTGTTCATATGAAGTATGTTATGGTGTACAAATATACGATATGTGTGTTTCGTAGACTTATATACTTATGGAAGGACAAGCGAATACCATCTTTTAAATCCCCACGTCTGGCCTTGCAGTTATACTCAGCACACAATTCAGGCCGAGATTGAAGGCATTCTTTTCGATAAAAAAACAGATTTTTTAGAATAGAATGCCCTAGAATTTTCAGATGAAAATACTATATTTTGGTCCAAATAGCAATGAAAGAACAAAATAAACAGTAGAAGCTTTTAGAATAGTTATATATATATATCACATTACTTGAGAAAAACTGATAAAAGACCTTTAAGACTGAAGGAATACACAGGAAAAGAATCCAGGCCGGCAGTTTCACGTCCTTTTCGTCTTTGCCCGGTCGAATTCCAAATTGTAAATTGTACCAATTAGAACAAATATACATCCAAACCTTTCACACCAGTTAGTTCTTCCCAAAAAAAGTGGTTCAACGGGATCGGAAACAGTAGGACAACGTAAAATGCAAAAAACATGGTTTTCCCTATGTCGCTCTATGATTTTTGACCGGTTGAGCCGCCATCTTGGATTTTGAAATTTGGCGCGCTTCTTCAGCCGAGTCAGCAATCTAGGTCTCCCATATCTATGGTTAATATGAGCCATGCACATTTGTCTCAATAACTTTTTTTGCGTGGAATAATTTTTTGCGTAATTAAACTTTATGATTTACTTGCAAGATTTACGACTTTAAGACCCTTAAAATTTAAAATTGCTAATTAACTTATTTTTGACGTTTTTGTTAATTACCCCAACTATTTCCCTATTTCATAATTTGTAATTACTACAATTCAATCGTTTCAATATCGGTCCCGTCTGGACACTAATCGTTTCACTTCAATGGTTGCTTCACCCTTTTTCTTTGTTGCATGTATAACTGCAACTTGTAAGAATAACTCTTTCTAAATTTCCAAAGCATGGCTTAATATGGCGTCTGTAATTTCCATTATTCTGAGCCATGTTGGCGATCCATGTCTTGTTTAAAGTTTTCAGAGTTGAAATTTTTGAAATGACGCGAGAGTGGATAATTTTAGGTGGTTTTGACTTAGGGCTAGGGTTTTTTCTTGCCGCATATATCAAACTGTGGTCACTTAATCTAATCTGGCCTACTCCAAATTTATAATACGTTTATCGGTTTCATTTGTAAGAATGGAGTAATTGGAGTAGACAAATTGGAGAAGACAATCAGTCAGTAATTGGAGTACACACAAATTCCTAGTTATTCTGGTTTGTCTTGATTTAGTTGTTTGTATTGGTATATTTCACAAAGCTAATTGTATTGTTGTCAATTACAATCTGCCTCTTTGTATACGCATGAAAAGTTCTATTGACCCCTTCAAAAGCAATGTTTCCTCCTATTTTTTATTCAAGAAGCAGATGCTTAGGCATGCACTTTCTACCAAGTTAGTTTTAGAGTTACATGCCGCAACGTGTTGCTTGTTTTGGCGTGGTAATTGATATAACTATATATTTATACGCAAATTGTAATATATATTGTAGCTTATATGTAGATTATAGTACATCAGTTTTGGGTAACTTATCTATAAGGGGATTATTCCATGTTTACGTTACATCTATTGTGATATTTGTTGTCCTTATAATAATAATAATAAAAATTTACATTAGCTATTGTATTGCAGTCAACATCATTAATGATGATTGATTCAATATTAAAGGATTCGATTTTCTCCAAAATTCTTTAAAAATTTTCAAAAGTCTTTTGACGAGAAGTGTCAGGGGATCCATACCATATTGAGGCAAGAAAAGGTTTCCTTTTTGAGATGATTAGTCTGTTTCTCTTGCATACCTCCAAATACAGAATCATAGCTTTGTCGTGTTCAGTCGAGTGTAAAGATTAGTGCAGCTGCTCTGCAGTGTGACCTGTCAAAATTTGAGAAAGGCTCGACCAACGTGAACCTGGAATTAAATGCAAGCAAATGCAAAGTGTTAAGAGTCACCCGTAAGCACAACAAAATCATCTACCCGTATACGCTGCATGACACCATTCTAGGAAGCACGGACAGTGAGCGTGATCTTGGGATATTAACTTCATCTAGCCTGACTTGGTCTAAACATGTCGAGTACCAGTGCGCCAAAGCCTCCAAGACCCCAGGATACATTCGTAGATCAACGTTCGACATCAAAGACATCGCAGTTCGCCGCACTCTATACTTGACTCTCGTTCGTACGCAGCTATGCTATGGTTCACAAATCTGGGCACCACAAACCATCAATCTAATCCAACGCACAGAAAGACTTCAACGACGCGCGACTAAGTACGTCTTGGATCTACCCTTCCGTTGTGAAACTACATACAACCAGAGACTTTCACGTTTAGGGCTTATTCCATTGAGCTACTGGCATGAATTTCTGGACATGGTTGTGTTCTACAAACTAATTCGTGGACTCATGAGAATTGACGAACATTTCCTGCCTCAACCAACAAGTGTCAACAGCCAAAGGGAAACAAGATCATCCGATCCTGACCATTTGTCATTCACGACAACACGATGCAAGACAACCACATTCCAAAAGTCCTATTTAAATAGATGTACCAGAATGTGGAATGTACTGCCAAAGAACTTGACAGGCAATAACACCAGCCTTAGTCAGTTAAAAAATGGACTTTTTATGTACTATAAAGTAGCATTACAAACTGTCTACGACGTGGATGATCCAAGAACATGGAAATCAATATGTTTGTCCTGTAACAAGTCCCGTAATCTGTCCTGTGAAGTAGCGTGTTGTTATTAGACAATAGTTTAATGTTTGTGATGTCGTATCTTATATGTAAGGGCCGCTGTAATTGGCGTAAGCTGTAGCGTGTTCCCTGCCATTGTCCATATATGTTTTTTCTGTGTTTTAATGTTTATTGGCAAAGTTAAATAAATAAATAAATAACGTACAAGTAAAGTAACTCATTACGGCGTACAAGTAAATATTTTAATTAAAAATCGCGTTTCCTTCCAATTATTACGTTTCTGGTAGGTCTCTGTAGCTCCATATTCTTGTACAATTAACATATTTTTAGTGATTTTGTAATATTATATTGTTAATTATTCTGTCAGTAAAATTATAATATTATATAGAAAATTTATTAGGTTAGTATATATTGCATGTGTACAACGGGGAAATATTAAAAAGGGGAACTATTAAAAAACAACTTTCCTATATAATAAATTTACATTTTCAAGTTGTGCCACTTGGTATACTTGAAATTATAAATTTCCGGTTAGTTTCTTTTAACAGTTTGGATTACAGGAGTAAAGTCTGAAATTAACGGCGGAAAAAGTATAGAGTAATTATTTAATATTATTCCTCTCAATAGACCGATTGGGAAATACTTGTCAAGGTAATCACTGTTGACTTATAGAAGATTGTACGGCATATGATTAACAGATTTACAAAATGTAAATATAATACCATGTTTTCTCTTTGAGAAATTGAATGTTAAAAATATCGAAGTTAATGCAAGATTTAGCAAACAAGCCTGACTAGACTCGTTTTGGCTCACATTCCAATCTTTTACACTTTTCCTTAAACAATGTGTCCCCATGAAAAGAAACCATAACGTATTGTTAGAATTTGAATGCCTTAGCACTCTGCTGAACCCACAACTTTTATGCATAAAGAACTGTTTAAAAGATTGTTTGTAAGTGATATTCATGTCAAACGCTGCAGCGTTATAACAATGAAACCTCGTTGTTCTGTGGTGAGTTGAACCATTTTCCCTCTAACTGACAATATGACTAATTTGTAATTTTATCATCTTTGCCAAGTTATTCTCTTTTAAAATTTAAGAAGCTGCTTTAATTCCCAAGAGCAGAAAATCTACAAAGCACTCTACAAAGATATGTTAAGTCAATATTTAATATATGCACAAGCTTTCGTTGGTAGCGACGCAAATACCTCTTGTACCTAGAGTTGCATCCCCATCAACGAAAGCTTGTTTATTTTATTGGCACTATATACGCACAGTTCAGGCAAAAACAGTTCCAGATTTAATACATGCACCCTGTCAATATTTTACGTATCTTTGCGCTCAGCTTCTAACAATACGTGATTTCAGTAGTTTTGGGACACCCTGTATATTATAATAACTATACTGAACAGTTAATGTCTGCTCCCAAGGGAAATAGTTGTTTTGTTCTCTCGTTCACAGACAATAAATGTTTTGTTATACAGAAATTTGAACAACATTCCTACAACAATGGAGCTTTGATGCCGCAGTCATCAGAGCAACCGCCTTTCACCTCAGAGTTCGTTTTATACGTCGAATTTTTGTCGCGTCAAATGCAATTAAGACAATAGATAATGAGATGATGACCTCATTAAGCTTCATTAATTATTAATTTTAATGTTTGAATTGCATTCGACGCGACCGAAATTCGACGTATATAAAACAGGCCTGAGATCCTGCATGGATTCGTTTCTGGCTATTGACTCGTGTTAAAATAGTCTGTCGGTCACAATAGACCTTTCCCCTTATAACCAAAATTTTGATCTAGGCAAGTCTAGACAAATATTTCATCACAGCTTGAAAGAGCATCACAAAATTAGTAATATTCCAAAGTTTCGTTGCGAAATGTTGTAAAATGAGGAAAATAGAGCCTTGCAAAGTTTGCAATTTTCAGTCATTTTGCATTACAAACGGGAAATTGCAGCCCCAACACCCGAATCGGATGTCAATTTCCCGTTTGTAGGATGTCAATTTCCCGTTTGTAATACAAAATGACTGAAAAACGGCAAACTTCGCAAGGCTATATTATCCGCATTTTACAAGATTTTGCAACAAAACTTTGGAATATTACTAATTTTGTGATGCTCTTTCAAGCTGTGATGAAATTTTTGTCTAGATCGAAATTTTAGTTATAAGGGGAAAGGTCCATTGGGGCATGTTCAAATGTCCTGGCTATATATAGATGAGAGACGACATTTAGTTGTCAATATTGCTGATATATACTATCCTGCTACTAACAAGCTTTCATTGTTATGAATGCAACTGCCTGAAGAATGTAAGGAGAATTTACTCTGCTAAAAGCGAGATATATGTTGCAGAAACAGTAGATACTGTATGCCGGCCAGGCAACATGCATGAACTTGCCTTCATGCCCAGATCATATAAACAGGCCATCAACAGATTCTAAAACTATGACAGGAACATTTTACGTCATAATCAATGCACAGCATTTACTATCTTTAGAATCGATAAGGTAGATTTTCAACTTTTAGGGCATAGTGTTTTGAGTTTGAGTCTTCACTTCTCGTGCAGTTTGTCGCAAAAAATTAACTCTTTTCGACCACAGTTAAGATGTGGTGACGGGCTGTAGCCAATCAGATTGCAGGAAATCAAACACTATGACTATAGGCATGCGCAAATAAAAAATAAATATATTTACATTAGTCATTATTAGTTCAGCCGAGGTATTTGAACTTAAAACATACAGAACTATTTATATAATTGTTATAGTTGCTCATAGTAACCACTACTCACTGGCTTTTAGATATCAAGCTAGTCATTCGATAGTTATTTCCTGAGCAGTTTCCTTAATGTCATTTGGTCACTACAGGTAGACTACACCCTCCCAAATCAGTAACAATGAGGAACAAATTTAGTTCCCTTTTTTTCTCTCCATAATGCAATGCAATCGTCACAACATATGATATAAAAGCAGGCTGTAAAAAGGTGAAAAGTATTGTATCTTTTGGCAGTTCATAACGTAAAGTATATTGGAGTATTTGTTCACACCTAAAGAATATTGTTTATTAAAGTAAGTATAATACTTTTTGCTCCATTCATAAGAACTAGTGAGCAACTGCGAATACGATGTTTACAAAATTGAAATATTGAGCTTTTACCATTATTTCATGTATTGATATCGTTAATGTATTATGTCGTTTTCAATTTATCGCCAATTTTGCTCGAAATGATTTTACTCAATTTAGTACTCTAAAAGGTCGAAAGCGGTAAGCATGATTTAAATACAAAAAGTAAAATAAAAAGTAATTTTGAAAGTAATTGGTAATTAATAATTTACTTTTCCTAGTAAAGTAATTTGTAATCTAATCAATTACTTTTTAGGAAAGGTAATTGCAGTTTCTACTCATTACTTTTTTTCAGTACCTTTTACAACACTGCATTTGGATTTTTGACCAAAGCGTATAATATTCAACTTTTCTTGGATGTTTGTCAGAGTAGGAAAGAGAAAAATGTACTTCTCAACGTTTCGAGCAAAGAAGCTTTTCCACGAGGACTAACAGCAAAAATGAGAAAAAGAAAAAGTTGCTTTAGATCTGACACAGTACAAGACACGTTAACTAAAACCAAAACAAAGTGAAATCGAATGCAAAACGCACTTTTAGCGTAAATGCCTGCAAACTGGCAAAATTATATAAAATATCTTCACAAAAAACCCAATTTTTTAGTATAAATGCACAAATATGATACATTATATGGTGATGATTTTATGGAATGTAATACAGTTTGAATGCCATATTTTTTTGATATTTTTGCTGGAATTCGAATCAAAGATGTTTATTTGGAGTAATTTCTGGCTTGACTGTTTTGTGTCTAGTTGTATTAGCGTAAAAACGCTCATTTCAACTTCGCTATAACCGGACACCATGCATGTTTACAATTATGAGCGGTAAAACATCAGCTAATCAAACGCCGAGACGACAATTCGTCCTACCAATCAAAATGCGGAGACGATAAATTTCACATAAATACTGTCCGCCATGAAGATACGATTCCTATTTCACTCATCTGCTGCTCAGAAAACTCTATACTTGTACATAATAATATCCACATATGTATTACCAATCAAAGTCTTCGTGGTATTAATGCCAAATCTTTCAAAAACCATATGAATTTGTTACTATTAACTGATCTCAAATTAATTTTCAGATGATGAAAGGATCGTCAATTGCCACTGTGTGTATATTCCTGTCTCTCTTTGCATTCATGCATGAATGTCATGGGCAAATACCAGGAAGCCACAAGTCCTGTTTGGAATTCTGTGCATCACAATTAGTGGTGTGCACAGGACCCCTCGGTGAATGTTTAATAGAGTATAGGCAATGTCAAGCTCGATGTGTACCTGATCCAACCCCAAAACCTGATGACGATGAAAAATACTTCTTGTGGAAATAAACAGATAGAAGGTTGATGAACGAAAAAGGACTTGGGAATATTATTAATAGTTGGTAGATATCTTCAAACATGTAGAAACAGTAATAACATCATGCATGGATTAGATTGAATTTAATAGTAGTTCTACATTGCATTGTGGTGAGTAAAACAATACTTAGTTAATAAAGCATTACATTTAATTTTGTTGTTGGAGTAACTGACGAGGAACCACTTCTTACAGTTCGAGTCGTATATGAGCTGTCAGTTCTTTTCTATTGCAATATTTTGATAGTTTATTCACTAAGGTTACGTTTAGACTCTACCGGATCGATAGCTAGGTTTCTATAGCGGCGCGAAAAAGCACCGACGCGGATCCATGTACGACGCGGATCCATGCACAAAATGGAGCGAAACAACATCTCTCCGTTGCAATAATTTATCTGAAAATAGCATTCCCAAAAGGTACGGGAGGGGAAGGGTTCAGATTTTCTTGTTGAGACACTGTGTTCATAAATTTCGAGTTCTCATCCCCCCAATATTAGGGATGTGATAGCCAAAAGGACGCCTACGAGAACAGTGATGAGCATTTTTCGCAATTTTGGGCTCATGCAACGAAGATGTAATGATTTTGTACCAAAAATACTTTACCCCTCTTAGGAAAGGGCAGGGGCGAAGAGCTATGCCGAATGCGGTTTCCGAAGGTGCAAACTTTCGCTAGACTTCTGCAAAATTATACACCCACAGTGACTCAAACTTTTGAGTAAATAATTTTACTTAAATTTATGAGCAAATGTACTGAATCGTTTTTAGTAAAGTTTCAAACTTACTCAATGTTTTGATTAAAGATTTACTTTACAAGACAATATGAAGAAATTTGATAATAAACTTGAGTAATTTCATTCAATATTATGAATCACTGCGGTTGCATAATTTTGTCACGTTTTCGAGTTATATCTTTTGTGCCTTTTTGCTGTACTGTGTGTGTTAATATGGCAGATAATTTCTATAATTTTGCAGAAGAAGTATGCTACTAGCAACAAGAATATGGTTAAGCAATACATAAACAAAAAACGAATGATCGGGTAGTTGTTTATAATTGCAAAGATAATATTGCAACTGCTGACAAGAGGTATAGATTGAACCAGAGTGAAAACGTTTTCGCCGATTTTCCTGTTGGAGTACTCCGGGGTGTTGTTACAGGTGCATTCATAGTACTGTACGTTGCACTAAGTGTTGTATCATTGGTATTTTGTAGCTTCCACTGTTCGTATTGAAATGTCAATGTATCTCCATCTTTTGGCTTGAGTAAATCGACTCCAACTGATGAACGTTTGCCATTAATATAAACAAACCAATAAAAACCAGACGTCGTATTTTGTTCCACGCAACATATCGTTGTTATGTAACGGCCAAAGCTGAACTGTTTGTATCGGTAGTTGTAACATGGGTTGAGTTTTGCGGCAAGTTGCAGCAATTCAAAAGCTGTCGTATTACTGGCTGCATCGACTTCGTGAAAAGGGATAACATTTGGAGAAGGATGGTCGGCGAAACTTAGTCCGACGGAAACAGAAACCTGGTAAAGGCATTGATGTTATTATAATTGGTTGAGTCACCGATACTCAAAGTTGCGCAGCTGGTGTTTGATATTAGGGAGTTTCTAGCTTCGCGTTCAAAGGTTAAATGGCAAACGCCAGGGGAAGAAAACATTTACGCTACAAGGTAATAAAAGGGAAATCAACTTGCTATTTTAAGACTGTAATGTATCATGATTCTTTTGAGATAAAAAAACGAGAAGAAGTTGTGCAAAAATTCTGCCAACAAAATTCGACTATGACGTTTGTCGTTCCCGCAAACGTGAAGCTTAATCTCCCTACTGATAAATTACTGTTTACACATTATCCTAAGATTTTTAAGGAGCTGTTACAGAAATTCTGTCAAATTTCCACAATCCGCAAGAAATTCAAATATTAACTGCTTTAATGTACCGAACAAATTTCGAACACCTACGATCCATTTCAGTTTATAATTTCTGTCCATGATTGGTTCTGATTCTACGGGTACGAGTCTCCCAGTAACGCCTCGCCTCCTGGTTGAGCTACTACGGGTCGCCTGTTTTATTCGGAGAGGGCCATTTTTCTATGTGTAATACCTGGGTCATGCGGTAAGGGAATGCAACATATTTTGGAATGAAATCTTCACCTTGACCAACGTTATCACCGTAATATTCAAGGTTGCCGAATAGAAATGATGTCAGAGGAATTTGCGGGGGAAACAGAAAACTAATTTTTGCCAACGAAAGTATGTTATATTTCTTGTTGAACTGACTCAGATATTATATATACAGTGCACACCAAAAAACATATTTGGCGGTAGTGACACTTTAACTGAACGTTGTTATTATACAAATATATTCGGTAGGAAGTTTAGCCAATCAGAAAAGATCATAATTGGAGTTAGGCTAATAACTATGATCATTTTTTTGTTTTTCGCCAGTGGTAATTTGGATTACTCAGTTTTACTGATTTGCACGTATAGTAGTAGTCGGCAGTTGCGCTGATTGTGATATCGGATATCCTATATTTTTAAACCTTCGGAATTTTACTCGCTTGGAAATTAAAATCGTTTTCTCATAGTTGGATGCTCTGCCTAAATGTTTGACACCACATTTCCACATAGCATTTGTCGTATCACACGCATTCTTTAGACTTGCAACTGACTATGGAGTATCAGTGTTTGATGGAAATGCGATCTGAAATAGTCTTACCTCTGGCTTTGTATCTTCAACATCTGTCTGGTTGAATCCTGCAGCATGAAAATAACGAAATTAGATGATTTTATCGATAAAAAAATTTAGAAAATAAAAAAACATTATTTTAGTTGTGTAATGTATTTTAAATTAGTTTGATCTCTAACTTGCTGAAACCGTATGTCCGTCGCAAGTTACGTTTAAAGGTAGCTCCCTACAGTTATAGTCCAGTAAACATTTATATAGATCAGACGTCATCCTCGCGACTCGCGCGTGGAATCATACCTGTTTTCGACTGATCGCCAATTACTTTCTCATGATGATTGCTTGCATTGTAATTTATATATCGATACTCAAATCTTATGATGTCTCCATGGCTTGGTTTAAGTTCATCAACTCCAACTGGCGATGGTCCGTCATTGATATTAATGAACCAATGATACTGAGTGGTCGTATTTTCAGAAACACAACAAATCTGTGTAATATAACGGCCAAAACTGAAGGTCTTGTATTGAAATCTGTAACATGGGTTTTGTTTCGCTGCCAGTGTTAAAATTTCAAATGCAGTGGTGCCATTGGACGCAGTTGCTATGTCAACAGCAGGGATGATATCTTCCTTGATGGAGTTGCTGTACTCAACAAAACTGAGCTGCACTGTGACAGAAATCTATTTAAGAAAATGATAAAATGCACAAACCGAACAGCTGATTTATTTTTGAAGGTCTTGTTGGAAGGTTTTGTATATATATAGATGGAAATTATCAGTGTAAATTGTATACATTATTCTAGACCTTATACCAAGAGCAGCTGCGAAAAATGAAAGTGTAGGCCCTCTCTGGCTGGAATCGAACGAGCGGCTTTGTGAGCCCGCTCTAACCAACTCAGCTACAGAGCGACAGAGTGCATTTGTAGAGCTATGTAAACACAATTTTATTTGCACATATAGTATACTAAACACTAATGTGATAACACTAATGTGATATCAGGATTTTTTGGGCATCTGCTCCTAGCTGGTTATAGGTCTAAAATAAATGTATAAAATTTACGTTCAAAATTTCCGCCTACATTACCATTCAAAATCAGTTCAATGGAATGAGATCCTGTTATGCCAATAAAAACTTAGCTTATCGTCTTTGATAAAAAACCTTTTAGAACTATGTGGAAAACCTTTTCACACTTTTTTGGAAAATGTTTGAACCAAAATGAACCCAAAATTATTATACTTATGCATTTATTTAAACCAACAAATTAACTGCATGGCATCATTTAGTCAACAGGAAAAATATAAATAATCCTGTTTTTGACATCAACAAAATCACTGCAATATATACAGTTACGTACTTGATCATGAATCATGTCTCCTCTTTGTCTCGTTATATTAGTTACTACAGGCCAATGGGATTGTATAATCGACCAGCCGATGCCAAGACCATTTTCTTCGACTTTCAGCCGTGGATGCAAAACGGCCTGGGGATGAGGTCGTGTCTCATTGTCGATTCACCAAATTTGAATTTGGTGAAGACTACCTTTCATCAACAAAACCTTTTGCTTATAACCTAATTCAGTTTAAAACTAAGCATTTTCGTCAAAAATCCATTAGAATAGGTTTCTTGTGAAACTATTTTCTGTTCAATTAATTAAAACAATTTGCACACCCCGCAGTCGCGCAAAATTGCTTGCCACGGGAGAAAGGGGCGGGAGAAAATGTCCTTCTATAAAATATAAACCTGTCATGTTGTGGACTGTGGAGTCGAGACATATTTTTCATAGAGAAGAGATAGAAACACATATTGTATATCTATTAGTTCTATGGATGGAAATATTGATCCGAAACTAACCCATTCCATTCAGTCAAAATTCTTCAAGATATGAAAAATCGGGAAAAATATTTCATATATAATCTTAAAAGTTGCATGTCAAATGAGGAAATCTTAATCTTTATTACCATATCCGTTGTAGGATAAAAGTAATGTACGCCCGTAATCTAAAAACACACTAGCACTCACTAAGTGGAGGTTCAATCTGAACTTCTCTTGAATGCCATTGCTGCTTTTGAATAGCTGAACGGCGAGTAGTCACCGAGTAAGGTATGATACTAGCCTTCCAGCTATTCAATAACAGCATGCAATGACACTCGAGAGAAGCTCAGATTGAACTTCCACTCAATGCATGAGTGTGAGTGAAAGTGAGCTTTTAGAATACGGGCGATAGAACTATTGCGGAATCGGTTGTTGGAGAATAACCTGGCGCGAGGGCCTCGTAATTCTGAATGGGATCTTTGAATACTGAATCCAACAAACATTAATTTAATAATGGTCATTCCCCCTTTAAATTGTGAATTTCGAAAAAAAAAATTTTAAAAATTTTATACTATAAATAGGTACATTAGGTATTATACTTTAAGATAACATGTGGTTCTTGCCTACAAAAATGCTTATTTTTGAGAAAATAAGGCTTCAAGAGGCCTTTTTTAAACATTTCCTCCATAGCAACGCCCTAGCAACACGTTTTCCTTCCAAATTTGCATGATTATTTCACTCACAAAGAGATTTTTTAAATTCAACTTTTGATGTATGTTATTTAAGAAATGCTGGCAAATCTCTTTGTGATTGGTTCATTTTTGTCGGCATGACAACGCACTGACTTTGCTAACCTCGAGGTCGACTTCTGAGCAAGCTGCGTGAAAGTTGTCATAGAAAATCGCTTTTTTTGCATTTATAAGTTGAAAAGTTGCTGTAAAAGTTTAGAATTACCTATCTTGTGTTGGTCTGGTTGAAATTCGAAGTAAACTGATTGGAAATTTAAGAAATCGATCATGAATACCTGGGTCATGCGGTAAGGGAATGCAACATATTTTGGAACGAAATCTTCACCTTGACCAACGTTATCACCGTAACATTCAAGGTTGCCGAATAGAAATGATGTCAGAGGAATTTGCGGGAGAAACAGAAAACTAATTTTTGCCAACGAAAGTATGTTATATTTCTTGTTGAACTGACTCAGATATTATATATACAGTGCACACCAAAAAACATATTTGGCGGTAGTGACACTTTAACTGAACGTTGTTATTATACAAATATATTCGGTAGGAAGTTTAGCCAATCAGAAAAGATCATAATTGGAGTTAGGCTAATAACTATGATCATTTCTTTGTTTTTCGCCAGTGGTAATTTGGATTACTCAGTTTTACTGATTTGCACGTACAGTATAGTAGTCGGCAGTTGCGCTGATTGTGATATCGGATTCCTATATTTTTAAACCTTCCGAATTTTACTCGCTAATTAGTGTAATAAATGAGTAACCAAAAAAATTTTTTGAATTTTTTATTTCAATCACTGTGCCCTTAAAAAATGTTTTTGCAAAGTTTTTATCTTGTAAAATGAAAAAAATTGCTCTGAAGGGGAACGACCACCTTTTTGCCAACAACACAATTATTCAATGGCAGTTGGAGCTGGGAAGGAGTTGTTCTTCCCAAAACTCCCGGACCAGACTGTAAAATAATTTACAGCGAATCAATGTCTATAGCTGCTTAACAACGTCATTGCATGCAAATAACGCGTCATTATAGGTATACAGTACAGTACAATTTGCGTTACCTGCTTGCTAAAAGCTTTGTGTAAACTCAGACACCAAAAGAATAATAAGGGTTGACATACATTGATAAATTATTTACTCGGTAAGGCATGTAAGATAAACAAAAGTAATTTAAATCACCAAAATATGTTAGTCTCCTAACATATGGGAAGTATAATTGATAGACTATAATATTATCATCGGCATTATGGAAACAATGGAATTCACATGACTGCTTGGAGAATTTAAAGACGAGACCATTTATACGATTGAAAATAGACCGTGGCCAAAATAAGTCGTGCACTACACGCATAAACACTAAACAATCAATTTTTCGCGACTAGATTCCTTAAGCATAGATATAATTACGAATTTGTTTTGCCAAAATCCATGGTCAAATTTTATTTCCTCGTCTTAATTATACTATTCCAGAGGCATAAGAAAACACAATGCCTATGTACATAAGAATTACTGGTGTATAAACAGATATGTAACATTACAAGCAGCAATTTTACTGCCCATTAGCTAAAGCTGGTTGCAGACGAGCAAGTTTTCTATGACAAAAGTTTTTATGTGACAAGTTTTATTTGCTCGTCTGCAGGCGCAACTTTGACAAACTTTTGTATGACAAGTGCACTTGTTCAAAAGCTAGCATGCTAGATTTTGAACAAGTGCACTTGTCATAGAAAAAATTGTCAAAGTACAAATTTTGTTCGTCTCTATGGATCAACAAGGAAAACATGTCAAAGTAATCTGAGCATTTCACATTTGATGTGATTTGCCAGCGCTCGCGTTGTCCGCTGTACTATTACATTGCTGGCTACTAATAAATTGTCAAAGTAAACTTGTTGACACGTTCACACCAGTAAATAAAACTTGTCATATGAAAACTTGTCATATAAAATTTGTTGCAGATACATTACGTGCACATGGCAAATAAAACTTGTCACATAAAAACTTGTCATAGAAAACTTGTGTACTCATAAAGGATGCCAAAAGTAGTCCCAGATGCATTACAAAAAGGAAACGCCATCTTCAATTTTAATTTGGCTGCGTAGCAAGTTAGGCTACAGTATCTATCTTAACTTATGTCAAACTAAACTCTATACGCCAACTGAGAGAACCTTCTACCTAGTGAGTGGCAATAAAATAAATATCCAGAATCTTGAAAGGTCCACTATAGATTGGGTATTTGCACCATGACTCCCACTTTAAACATTTGTTCCAGTGAGATATTTTACACTTAAATTTCGAAAACTGAGTATCCCTTTGAAGAGAGCAACATGTGCAATAAGGTGAAAGCCTGAATAATATCATTCTATATAATATACTGCTTACCAAGAGATTCGTGGAATTTCCTATAAGAAAAAAAATTCTATTCAGAATAGAATATAAATTCAAAAATATTATTAATGGACCAAAATTGTCATAATTATATGTGGAGACGTCCATGGAGCATATATTTTGCATACATGAGTTTTGTATGCCTTGTGTTGGCCTGAAAATTTATATTGACAAGCATCATGGATGCAAAATATAGCTAATTGCTGAGCCATTCTAGTATCAAGCCCTATAAATTATACAACAGCATTTATAATACTAATTTAGCACAGGTGGTTATGATTATTTTTTTATTTTATTTAATTTCATGCAAGTGGTAGTACGTTTTCCCACACAGCGCACACACCCTATAGCTAGCAAGAGGTACTGATTCCGCTCAACTATTTTATCCCAAGTGAATGAAAAGCTAGCGGCCGACTGAACAGTCCATCAATGATGGTGGGCGCATCACAATATTTCCTGAATCAATCACCTTTCCTCTGGTCTCAAAAATAAAGCGAATAATTTTAAAGATAAGAGGAAAATAGTTTAAAGATTTAAAGAAATAAGCCGATGTGACATAAGGCACGGCATGAAACATTAATTACAGTAGTTAAGTCAACATGCTATATACGTGCATGTGTTTTAATTTGTGTAAATGTTTGAAGTGTACTTCTTGTTTAAGAAGCTGCTTGACACCGTTTTTCTTGCATTTCAATGTGACTTTAATTTCTTATAAATGAACCAAATATTTTCAAAAAAGAACCGGGAGTGCAAGCGTATTAATAAACACAAACAGCAGTTAATTAGTTATTCGAAAAACATTTCAAAGTGTTTTATTAACAAACGTATGGATTTAGCAAACGTAAGTTTTAGCAATTCTATGGAAATTTTATGGCGAAAACGAGACTTACGCCCGTATTCTAAAAGCTCATGCACTCACACTCAATGAGTGGAGGTTCAATCTGAGCTGCTGTCGAGTATCAATGCTGTTTTTGTATAGCTGCAGGATTAGTGTCGTACCTTACTATGTGACTACTCACCCTCCAGTTATTCAAAAACAGCGTTGACACTCGAGAGAAGCTCAGATTGAACCTCCACTCATTGAGTGTGAGTGAGCTTTTAGAATACGGACGTGAGTATAACCAGTTTCGATTCCGTTTCTTATTTTGTAGAAGAAAAAAAAATATTACCATGGTTACCGCTAACTTTGACACAGCAAACACAATACATTGTTCAATTTTGTTTTAAATCCTATATATTTCTGAATATTTGACTAAAATCGATTATGTTGAAATATTGATTGGGAAATATCGTTGTTCGGTTTGAAAATGTAAGGGTTTGAGCATGCATGTATTTGTAGTAATTATAATTTAGCATCATGTGTAAGCGTCAAAGAGGCACGGCTTTCCACTCTTGTCAAGACAACATTCTCCGTAGAGGCCTTGCACATGATGACATGTTACCGATAGAGATATCACGGCTACAAAAATTCTTTTGATGTATTAAACAAGTCAGAACGTAAAATAAAATTTCAAGTTTATTGAAAGTAACTCGTCATAAATAGTTTGACCCGTATGGAGAAAAAACATGATAAATTGATAACAACATATGCTGTAGGTACTGCATTTCAGATGTTGCCTTAATTTGTACTCTTTATCATGAAATGAGGGAATTTACACTGTCAAAGCTGTACTTGAGTATCAACATCAAAAGCAATCTAAATAGACAACAGATATGACAGAAATCATACGAACAAAACCCTACAGTCTTACTAGTCTTATTGCTATGATTTCGTTTAATGGAGTTTAAGGACTCTTTCGCGACATAGCCAAATCACTTCTATATGCATTTACTTTAAAATAATTAATAGTGTTGTTAATGATTATATCTTACTGGGAATTTGGAGATTGTGCATAAATCGAGAAAGCGCTGTTCAGGATTACATTGGATGCCTGCTGCGTTTGTTTAGTTTACACGTGCTTCGCTTCAATAGCATGCATACATCATATTATGTGTAGGCCGTACTAATAATATATAAGATCTTTGGACTTTATCTACAGAACCTATTGAGTAACAGCTATTTTAAAACAGTCCTGCTTTCAACTTACTTCTAGAGTGATTCTCTCTGATGCCTTCATCACTTCTTTTATGTCTTGGTTGATCGATATCATTTGCAATAGACATTACAATGTTCCAAGCAAAAATGATTATACACAATGCCGAGTTCAGCTTCATTATGATCATGACCACAAAGTGCGTAATACTCAGAAACCGAGATGTACAATAGACACAAGCAATTGAATCAAAAGCTACAGTGGTTTGGAACAAAGTGTCAAAGTTTGATATACGATACCTTACACTGAGTGGAGCGTTTGTGAATATATTATCCCGATGATAAGGGTCGGTACGCAGATGTTGAGAAGAACCCTCCAATTGGACGGAGGGTTTCCAAATAACGAAGCAATTTCATTGTTTTGAACACAAAATCAAAATAATTGTGAAATGGAGCCAATGAATATAACTGTTCAGACAAGCTGTGCATTCTCGTGTGCTATATATAACATTAATTATGCAGAGGAAATTAGTGACTGAATTTCAAACGTCTTATTATATGATAAAATTTGAATGTTTTTCTAATACTGTAATTTAATAGCCTAAGTTGCGCCGCGGATGTGACATCATCATTTTTTAGGGTTACATCTGGCGGCGGAAGTGACGATTGCATAACCTCTTACCCAGGATATTGCCTTCGCTCACCCCCTGCTGCAGAAATTCCCTGGTGCCGACTGGTCACGTGGCTTCCAGACTTTGGGTGCTGAAATAAATTGCTATTTATATTTAGAGAGTGGTAGTATAGAAATGATTACGAGACAATAATAAATATTTGAATTTGAAGAAATGTTAAAAAGGACAAAAAACAACAGATTAATCATGTGTTACAGCCGAAAGAGTATCATATTGCTCTCAAAGATTACAAATATCTCATATTTCCCTGTATCGTCACTATATCGGCTTAGGAAAAGCTCGCCAAAGAAATTTTACAAAACGTCTTCTGGATCAACTGAAAATAGTTCTCGCTGTCGATTATGTATAATGGTGTACACGATCAGAGACATTGTAAGAATCTCTTCAACAAAACAAATTAAAGAATTTTGAATAACGCGGAGTTGATTCATGGCGAGAAACTGCGGCATGTTGATGATCTGCAGAGTGCCGTCCTTCATTGATCTGCCGAGTGCCGTCCTTGTGAACGACGCCGATTAAATAATACGATTTCATTCAACAATGGAATTTCCGAACACAGAAATCATTAGTAAAAGATTCCCGATACAAGCAATGCCCTGAAGTTTCTACATCCGTTGCCAGACCTTCGGTAAAGGTTGCTGCAGTTGAAAGTAGCCCGCGTGCAGGCCCAAGGGAAGAATAGTGGGCCTGCAAGCAAGGCCCGGTATTTTGTAAAACGCCCCTTTCATAACACGCCCCATTCGCACGTCAATTGTCAAAAAAGAACCAAAGACAGCAATCCAAATAGTAACAAACAAACTCATATTAAAATGTTGCGGGGTTTTCTCTGCTATATTCAAAATAGAAAAAGTGTGTAATTGGCTGTGTTTTAACTAAAAAAAAAAACAAGCAACACAGTCAGCAATTGCCAAATTTATTGCAACAGGCAAATTTGGACGAATTTCAACAGAAAACCAGTCTCAAACTTCAAATCGTGAGGGAATTCGTGCGACCAGATTAGAATTAATGTGTGCTTCGCTGTCGCCATTGTTATAAATAAATTGTCTCACTTATCAGATGGTGTGTGCAATTCTTGTTGGCGGCGGAAAGTACGAAATTTATTTCAGTTATTTTATTTGGTAACTGGAACTCTACAAAAGAAGAGAGCGTTCAGAGTCCAGATCGTTTCGTTTCAAACGGCAATTACGGTCTTCTGTTTCGCTCTCTCATGCAGCGAAACCTTGAAACGCAAAGTGTTTCGAATAGGCTTACATGCAACTGCCTCTAAATCTTCACCGCGGGAAGCGCTGTTTCCTTCAGTGCAAGAACAGAGTCAACATCAACCAAAAAATAATTTTCTTTAGGAACATATAACGTATCAAGTCTGTTTGAAATTAATGAAACTCAAGTAAAGGTTACTATATAGTTTACCGCAGTCGTAATGTTGCTATTCCAACACTTCACGACAAGCAATCCCCATTGGCATAACGGCAAAAACATCTCTTTCTTCAAGTAAACAATAAACAGTACGTTATTGTTCCATTTTTTATTGAAAAAAGTGATCAATTTTCGAATTTTAAGCTTATCGAGAGCTTTTGTGATGAATCACTGACCTAATTATAGAATCCAACAGCAAACAGCCAATCAGAATGCTGCGTTCGTGGGCGAACGCGGAAAGTACAGAATACCGGGCCTTGCTTGCAGCCCCACTATTCTTCCCTTGGGCCTGCACGCGGGCTACAGTTGAAAGTCGATGACTTTTTAGATTTTGTCAATGTGTCGTCCTCGAGTGATGAAACTAGATCTGCTGCACCTTTGCCCATGCCAATAGAAGTGAATCAATTGTTTATGAATATCATCTACCAATATACTTTACCGTAATAAATAAATATAGTCATCCGTATACGTATTAGTAGAAGATGTAATCTCTATTTAAACCCAAAATGTGCAATCCATTTGTGATTTCTCCATGGAATATTTTTTTGCGAATATTTATAGAATGGCAGACGCGCGAAGGCCACTTGATTTCAGTAGAGATATAGTTGATCTTGTATCAGTGAATTCAAGGGAGACACAACGATAATAATACACGAAACGTTCTGAATAGATATCCCAAGTGATTTCCATGGAGAAAGTCCCCAACTTAGTCCCCAATTAGTCCCCAATTATTCTCCATCCGTCCCCAATTAGTTGTGTAAATAATATCTAGATATGTTCAGTTGTTGTTGTCATCCAGTTGTGTCCCCAATTAGTTTGTAAAGAGCTAAACACATTGACACTTTTAATAAATTTTAATAATAATAATAATCAGAGACTTTCCATAACCGATCAGAGGAGGTTGGACAGCAGGCCGCAAAGCATCATGGGCATTGAGTGCCTAATTCCACGCGTGACTTCATTGACTGTTGACTGTCGAGGAGTGAACATCTCTCTGACTAAAGCAATATGGAAGCTTTCGAACGACAAGAGTGTCAGGCTGTGATACTTTGCATGTGAAAAGAAACAACATGTTATTGCTGTATTGTTGCGATCATCATTATGACTATAATCCGTCTGAGAAACGGATCGGAATTGTGTTTAATTTTAATATATTCCCAATAGCAAGGCTCTTCTTTCTATGTGGGATTGCGTTAAATCTCCGCGCATCTTTAACGTGAAAACAAGCTCAGTATTTAAGGTTGGTATACTACAATGCATTACAGTTATCGTGTTATTTTATAGTCAAATTTCCGCTTTGTTGTTTTTATTCTTGTACTGTAATTTTATAAATACACTGTACAAAATTATGGCGTCATACTTGTGTTTATAATGCCTCTACTCTAGTTTGACCCTATTGTGTGTGTATATGTACTGTGTCACTTTGATAGATATGTACATGTTTTGAGTTAAACGAATTAATTGTTTAATAAATTTCTGCTGAAGTATGATGCCTGTTTGTATTGGATAGATTTTTACATATATGTGCATACTGTATAGTTACATTGGTTCTCAGATGAGTCTGAAGGTATGTTGTTATTCAGTTATTTGTATGTACTGTTTTACAAATTTTTGCTGAGTATGATGCCTGTTTGCATCTAGTTGTAGATGGTTGTGAGAATATAATTTTAGAGGTTACATGTTTGCTAATTTTAGAGATGATAATGTATCAAATAATAATTTTCTTGTTATGATTTTGTAGAAAGAGATTACTTGAGTGGTTGGCTGGTCTTGAGCCTGTTCAGGATGGATATGATAACGAAAGAGGTGACAGGGCAGCAAGTGATGACGTTTAAGTGAGAAGATGAAAGTGATGAGGAAGAAATCGCCCACGCTGTACCATTCAAGTGCATCAGTGCTGCTCGTGAGAAAAACTACCAACATCATTTGGAAAATTAAATTAAGGCATAATACCTTACTCTTCATGAACAAGATAAAATAGTGAATGTAAGAATATGGCCAGCACCATTGAATCCAAGGGACCCAAGTGCAATAGGCAATTCCAGCTTTTAGTTTATTTTATTTAAATTTTTCAGCATAATCAGCTATATGATACCTTACTTCCTGCCGCCCCCTGCACACATAAATTAAAAGCTGGAATTTTCTATCGACTAGACTATGGAACTGGATGGACAACATGTTGGTTATATTGCTTTTGAACTATGCAAGTATTTGCACCCACTAATTGCTGCAGATGTCGTGGATGTCTGGTGGAAACATTTCTAGTGGGGTGCAAGCAGCTTTTTACAGGAGTTAGGAATTAGGGTTTAAGACTTTTGAAGCAAAATTTTGGGTGGGTTAAACACTTTATAAGAGGGGTTAGAGAGATTTTAAGGGGGATTAACCCCTCCTAACCCACCCCCCCCAGTAAATCCGCACATGATTTAATCCAAAAATATTCATAACGAAACCTGGAGACTCAAGTGGTAGGAAAAAGCATGAGTGTATGTAGAGAGATGTTTTTTATATAATAAATAGCAACTAGCTATGTTTAGCAAGTTATTAAGTGCATTTATTTCATTTGGCTAACTTTTTGGGGTTTTTTCCAGCATTTTTTAAACAAACCATATGTTATAAATGATAACTGGGTATATCTAATTAACACAATTTTGTCATGTACACTCATGCAAATAAGACTAAGTACACAAATAACTGTAAAAATCTACTATAGTAAATGAATAATTTATTCATACACTTGACCTACTTTGTGAGTATTTTTTCCGATTAAAATTGATGCAACAATAAAACAAGAAGATGTCTATTTATATATTTATTAAATTAATCAGAGATCCCAACAATAACATGCCACTTAGGGAGTGGTCATTATTTATGGGGGGAGGGGGATTGGTAAATGGGAGGGGCAAACTAAGTTTTACCCTTATAAATAGGGGAGGCAAAAAAGTTTTAACGCAGAGAAAGGGGGGGGGGTCAAAAAAGTTTTTGAACTTAAATACCATGTCTAGAGTTCTGATTTCTATAATCGC